GGCACCCCAGGAGCGGGGCAGGGGACGCAGGACGGGCTGACGGGTCAGGAATGCTCCCGCCGGCAACACGACAGGCAACGTCCAACTAAAAGCCGAGCCTAGTTTTGAGGAGAAACCCCCTTCTTTCTGTGTAAACCTGGCCAGAAACCATCACGGGAAGGGACAAGGCTGTGCCTGAAAGAGGAATTCAGTGGGAGAAGTGGGGTCTGTGCCAGCCCTGCCCTCCCGCCTCCATGCCAGCGGCTTAAAATGTCGCTTTGGGGGAAAAAGGGAGAGGCAGCCAGTATTTCATGAATGCCGATGTGCCTATTTTCTCCCAAATCAGTTTCTCCCCTGTTCTCTCTCCTGCCCAGCGTGATGCCTCCAAGTCACCTGGAACTGGTTTTAGCGGAGGGGAAACGGGCGGCTGCATTTCCAGTTCTACGGAACAGCAGCAGCCATCGCGTGCAAAAGCCGGGCCCAGCCTGGCTCCGGCTGCTCCCTAGCACAAAATCCAGGCTCCTCACCGCCCTCCAGCAGCGTGTTTATTTACAGCAGTGTATTTCTTTCTAAAGATCTGGTCTCAGGGGGCAAAATCCCTTCTGTGTATGAAACCAGTACCGACTAGCTCAGACATTGTCTTCCGGAGACTGCAGGCAGCCTGAAACAATAGGGGCATGCGGAGCGTCCTGATACATTTCCATTTTTGGACCGTGATAAATCTGAAACGTAATAGTAACAGCTCTAAAAATGGCCCACGTTAATTATCTATTTGGGAATCATTTTGGTATTCGGCCATCACACACAATGCCCAGCGGCCTCACGTCTTCCTGCATACCAGAAGATTCATTTAACCTCTCGAAATTGGACAAAGCCTCCAGGTTCCCCTTGGAAATTTTCAGACACGACTGCAAGCTGGAATATGGACATCGGCAGCGCAATGAAAATGGGAAGCACGCTGGTGAAGGGCGGCCTAAAAGACCCTGGCATTCAATGTAAAAACAAACTAGGGGCCGATTACGTTGTTGTGTTTCACGTACAACTCAATCCAAATCTCAGTTTCTTTAAAATGCAACCCACGCACTCAAAATACAGCACAGAACCTAGTTTTAACCAAAATCGCTGGACTACAGACAACCGCTTCCTATTTTTGGGGTTTTGCTGACACCTGGTGTTCCGGAAAAGACGCCGTGACATCCTGCAAGTCCCTTCCCTGGCTTCTGTTGGGCTGGCCCCTCTCTCAGGTCAGAGGGATGTGTGTCTGGGAGCTAATCCTGAATTTGGGGGAGAACCTGAGAAACGCAGGTGCGCATCTAGACGTCAGAGGCACTCTTCAACACCTCAAGTCAAGAGAAGTGCTCGTTACGTTACAGCAAACCTCACGGAATAGATGCCGGCTTCCTGGCTTCAGGCGTCAGGGGAACCGCAGGGGGAATCTCAGGTCTCATTTATTTTTAAATAGCGCATTTCATTGCAAGGGAAAACGATCCAGCGAAGTGATCCAAACCCAAGAGATCCCTCTGCAGTGGCTGCTCTACCCAAGGCGGCCATTTAGGGCTAGCACCCGAGACCCAGAAAACAAAACTGACTTCAACAGCCGAGCACTCATCAAAGCGGCATTCTTATTTATTCAGTTAAAGCACATTTTTTCCCCAACAGAAAAGGAGGGAAAGCAATAAGCAAGAAGGCGTGTTTCACAGCAGCAAAGGAGGAGATTAAATTATCGCGACACCTGCACAAATTCAAATGCGGGAGCGGGTGGCATCAGGAGACGATACAATGGAGCTGAACAAAGATCTATTCGACAGTGGTATTTTCTGGTTTCCCCCCTGGTACCTGGGCCTGCGGTTAACAGCAAAAGGCTCTGGCTCTGGATGCTATCGAAGATGACAAAATGGCCATCACAAAGTGCATTAAAAAGTCCAATCCCAGTACTTTCCCTCTTCATACAGAGTAAAATTCAGCCTCTATTATTTATCACACATAGTACTTAGTCCAACTAAAATGTTTAAAATGCAGGAAAAAATGAATTTTCAGCTCTCAGCCCGGACCGAAGCGGACTGTCGCTGCAAACTCTGTCCAACCTCTTGTATTTGGTAAATGGAGTTCAATCCAGTTGGCGGCCGGTCACGAGCGGTGTTCCCCAGGGCTCAGTTTTGGGGCCAGTTCTGTTCAATATCTTTATCAATGATCTGGATGAGGGGATCGAGTGCACCCTCAGTAAGTTTGCAGACGACACCAAGTTGGGCGGCAGTGTTGATCTGCTCGAGGGTAGGAAGGCTCTGCAGAGGGACCTGGACAGGCTGGATCGATGGGCCAAGGCCAACTGCATGAGATTCAACAAGGCCAAGTGCCGGGTCCTGCACTTCGGCCACAACAACCCCATGCAGCGCTACAGGCTTGGGGAAGAGTGGCTGGAAAGCTGCCTGGCGGAAAAGGACCTGGGGGTGCTGGTCGACAGCCGGCTGAACATGAGCCGGCAGTGTGCCCAGGCGGCCAAGAAGGCCAACGGCATCCTGGCCTGTATCAGAAATAGTGTGGCCAGCAGGAGCAGGGAAGTGATCGTGCCCCTGTACTCGGCACTGGTGAGGCCGCACCTCGAATACTGTGTTCAGTTTTGGGCCCCTCACTGCAAGAAGGATGTTGAGATGTTGGAACGTGTCCAGAGAAGGGCAACGAGGCTGGTGAGGGGTCTGGAGAACAAGTCTTCTGAGGAGCGGCTGAGGGAGCTGGGGTTGTTTAGGCTGGAGAAAAGGAGGCTGAGGGGAGACCTCATCGCTCTCTACAACTACCTGAAAGGAGGCTGTAGCGAGGTGGGGGTCGGTCTCTTCTCCCAAGTAACTGGCGAAAGGACGAGAGGAAATGGCCTCAAGTTGCGCCAGGGGAGGTTTAGATTGGATGTGAGGAAAAATGTCTTTACTGAAAGAGTGGTTAAACATTGGAACAGGCTGCCCAGGGAAGTGGTTGAGTCACCATCCCTGGAAGTATTTAAAAAACGGGTAGATGAGGCGCTTAGGGACATGGTTTAGTGGGCGTGGTGGTGTTGGGTTGACGGTTGGACTCAGTGATCTTGGAGGTCTCTTCCAACCTTAATGATTCTATGATTCTATGATTCTATGATTCTATTTCCGAGTCAAGCCCTGGGAGAGCAGGGCCGGAGAAGAGCCCAGCTGCCAAACACGCTCACCTCGAGAGCTGTGAAGAGCTAACGGCACCGAGACACCTTTCGGTACGTGCTCACGCTGCCTTTTGTGCCACGCTTCTCCTCTGATGGGCGCTAGGAAGATTTGCGTCTGCAAACTAGACCTGAAAATACAGGATGAAAGTAAAAGCCACATTTGGTGAAGCTTTTCCTAAATCCCGCTGTTTGAGTCTCAGGTACTCGATTACTTCATTGAATTATGGCCTGATAAGGAATTTCGCTACCTTTTTTTCTTTGTTGTTGCTTTTCAATCCTTTTCAGAGTACGGTCTCCGCAAAATGTGTCCCACCTCTACGCAACGATGTCAGTATCTCCCAGAGCCTAGTGCTGATCTTTAAATAGGGACAGCGGCTCCCCCGGGAATGACGGGCACCAGCTGCCCGCAACCTCTGCCCAAAGGTTTGCTGGACCAGCATTTCCATCTCATTCCGAACGCCTGCCCTGCCCAAATCAGATCAGTTACGTCTCCCCAGGCAAACACCGCCATAAACAAAATTCCATAAATAAATCCAGTACAAGGATTAAATATTTACAGCACAAACATGTAAGGAAAACATTATAACACAAGTTAATAAATAATGAGAGCGACGTGGCTGCACTCCTGCAACCCAAGCTGTCTTTCCACACACGCAAGGAGCAGCTGGAGTCCATCTCCTCCGCTGAGCAGCAAACTCGGTGATTGGGATCTCCTCCCTCCGGTTCCCACAGGTCCATCATCCATTGCCCAGCGACACGTAGGCTTTGGGATTCCGGGGACAGTAGAGGCTTGAAGGATCTACCACGTGGTCAACATTTCAAGCTTAACTGACCCCTCGCTTCACCTCAAAGAGATTAGTGCAATCAAGTCTTCCAAAAACTCCACAAAGGTCTAGAAAACCCCACGTGAAAAGAGTCAGTACCTCGCATCCTCTCACACAGAATAGTCAGTTTTCTTACAAACTGTTTTATAACCTCGGTACCTTAAAGTTTCTCACTGAAATTTATGATGATATCAGCCTTTCCATGCTATCACTGTATAAATATTGATCATTTTTGGGCAATGACTTGAATTTTCAGAAGTCCTGAAGTTTCTGCTAGGGAACTGAGCTAATTCTGCATGAAAAGGAGGCTGATATGAAGCAAACAAAACCACATATTACCATTTTTTACTTAAAAATCATAGAGGTACTTCACAGAGAGTTATACACAATTTTCAAGCAGCCTGTTCGAGTGCATCTGTAACAGGGCCAACAGTTTATGATTTCAGAAATAATCTTACATCCTCTCCTGGAGGACGTGCATTCTTTTATCGGAACACCCTGTAGGTGGTGTAATCTTGATTAAGGATAATTAAATACTCCACTGCTTTCTGAATGCCTGAGCAGATGCATCTCATCCTCTTGAAGAGAGTTTCAATTTTTTTACACCAAGAACACTGTCTTCTCAGCAGCGATTCTTTACAGTCTTTTGCTTTTCTGTACAATAAAAGCTCACAAGAAACAAAACACCACTAAGTGTTCACACGTGGTTCAGTGCAACAAAGGAAGACCTAATAGTTACAGTTTTTAACCGTAGGGACTTCAATCTCCCGGGTTCGTCAGTGCAATTTTTGAGGGTGGTGGGAGACAGAGAGCAATTCCTACTCAGGCAAGGGCTCTTCTTTGCTAGGAGAAACATAGTCTTGGATCTTGGCTTGTCAACTTCTCAGCGAGGCCCTTGGACACTGGGTTGTCCCACAGCCTACAAGGACAGCAAAACGGGTTACTGTAGGGCCAGGTGTGGTCAGCGAGGAGGTGGCATGCCGAAGACAGTGGAAGAGGCAGCTTTGGGTTTTCATCAAAGCAGGTCTGACAGTTAGACAGGAGCGAGGTATGGCCATATCTCAGCAACCCAGCAGCAACCCAGCAGCTGCCTACCCGCTGAGATGGGCTCACTTGTCTAGCTTGGGAATTCCTCAGGCCACTAGGATCTCAGAAAGGGGAGGAAGAACTGAGTTACAGACAAACAACCTGATTTACGTGAGCCACCCTTCTTCATCTACCTCATTTGGTGGAGTCTGCCCAAAAGCTTCCCATACTGGGCCTCTACCTTGTGAAGCAGAGTGCCCCGAGGAAGTCAGAGGGACCGCGTGCTGTGCTGCGCTCACCAACGTGAGCAAGCGCACGGGGGCCCCAAGCTCCAGCCGGGACCAGAAACATTCCTCAGTGGTTGCTCTCGGGCTGCTCTCACTATTGGGGAAGGCAGAGCCTGTTTTGGGCCAAAGAGGCAGCTCGGGTAGGAGCAGACGCTTGGCTGTGGGACCTGTGTTACCAGAAAGTTATCAGAGGGGCTCTCAGAAGAGTGACTTTGCAAATGAGTGAAGGATGAGCAGGCCTCTCCTGCAAGAGGTTTCTAGTGGAGTTTGGTACGCAGGGTTTGGAGAAGCAGTGACAAAGAGTGGGAAATATCAGGTGTCCAAGTATCTGCAAGATAAGGATCCCAGGACAGAGTGGGACAGGGCGGGAACGTATCTCAGAAGTGAAATCGGATGTAATGGGAGAAAGAAAACTTACAGGAAAAAACGCAACAAACCTCCTGATGGGGACATTACAGAACTGGGTCTTCATTTTTACATCATTTAAAGCCAGTAAGCTTTTCAGTCCCTTTTTCCCAGGACTTTCTGAGGGGGTGGAGCTGGCCTAGAAAACCCTCAGCTTACTTGGCTTGCGTCTGCGTCCCCTGCAGTATCCTATTCCGTGCCAGCTAACTGAGGGCAGCAGGCCGGCATGGGTCATGTCTGTCCCAAGACTGGTCACCCCGACTTTCCCTTGCTGAGCCGATACCCAGCCACAGAGCTCCGTGAATCCTGCTCACCTTATGAACTGAATTTCCGGGCATTTGGCGAGTTGCTCTGCTAGCTTTGTGGCCCCGCAGGCGCCAATGCGATTTTTCTCCAGACTGTTTTAGAAGCAAAAAGAGAGTTTTAAAATCCAAAACCAAATCAAGAGTAGAAAACAGCAGAATAATCACTGGCTCCTTCTCCTGTCCCAGAAGAGCTACACTTTTGTACAAGCACAGCAATGCCACACAACTTACGTCAGCCTCATCTTTATGACCGTGGCCCTATTTATGCAAGAAGCGTGCGTGCACTGCTCCCTACGACCTCCTTCTAGCAACAGGACTTGTAAGCAGATCTCTTGCCCTTGGAGCACTCGAACAGATCCCACTGCGAGCTTGGTGCCAAAAAAATGCTAGTAACAACTCCTCCTGCCTCAGACACAACCTTCCTGCTTGTACCTGTAAAACAGCCAGGCTCTACTATGTAGTTTCCCTGCTCAAGACAAACAAAACTCAGTTCCTGACCCTGTGACCCACAGACTAATATTTTCATACAGCTGAGAGATGGAAGACACATACCACCTATTCCAAAGGGCCAAGGGGAGGAAAGCTCCATGAACAGTTCTTGAGCAGAAGATGACAGTCTCTCCCATGGAATAGGGCTGGGCTGTGATGCCACCCGGCCAGCACATGAGCCGGCGACATCGACCCCAGCTGCTGGCTGCACTGCAGTTCCAGCACAGGAGCTGCACCTGAGCTTCCTGCGAGCTCCTACGGCCCAACACCCGCAATTTGGCTGCTCCATCCTGGGCATGGATTGCTTGCCTTCCTGCAGGCCTTCACAAAGGAAGGGTGTCCCAGCACGGCACCTATCTAGACCCTCCCAGACACTGAGGAGAAGTAAAAGCTTGCAGGAAGCAGCTCACCTGAGGTCATTAGGTGGTATGAGTCATGCTCTAGAAATACCAGTTTGCCTTCCCTGACTCAAACAGGAGGCCTTCACAGACTAGCTTCTGCTTAGATACCTACACTGCAAACACCTTACATAAAAAATGCCTCTGCGCTGTGTATCGCTCCAGCAAGGCTGGCCCTCGGTGCATGCAGCAAGAATGCTACGCGAGAATTTGAACTGCAAAAGCCTGTCCGTTGTTCCTAACGTCCGTCCCCTTTTTGTGGTTGAAGGCTCAAGGACAGAAAAACAAGTCTTCTTCCTGGGGTCGCTCTCAGGGTTGTACTCACTCTAACATCTTCAGCTTTTCCATCCCTGGGAGAGCACCGGCCAACTCTCGGGCTCCTCCGTCACCAAGGGCGTTCCAAGACAGTCTAAGACAGACAAGATATCCCAACTGAGAGTCACTCGATAAACGCGAGGGGAACAACAGCAGTGCTGTGATACAACCCCCTCACAGATTAGCCTGTTTACAAGAGCTTATCGCCCTCTTATCGTGGCAGGTAAACGTTCCCCCGATTTACGAGCTTAATTTTGAGGCATTTCCTCAGTTTCGCCACAGATTTTCATGTATGGTAAGACACCAGGGAGTGTCACCACAGAGCCTGGGGACTGTGGTTATCTCCAGAGTCCTGCAGGCGCAGGGAATGAGATGCGAAAGATGGAAGTGACTGCTCAGCACACAGCTTTACCCCACGACCACTCCCCCTTGTGCTGATGGTTTGAAACTATTGCAGCAGCTAAGGTGCCTCTCCGACCTGCTCTTAAAGCTGCCTTTTGACCCTGAGCTCTTTCAAAGGATAGCTCGCAGGGCTCTTGAAAGGCTGGGTTTTTCACTTTCTGGTGCATTAGCAAGTGAGAAAATTCTTCAGATCCTTTCTTTGACACTGGCTGAACAGCCTGCCCATTTCCCTCTCACCTGGAAAACAGAAACCTAGCACGGCACCATCAGTGCGTCACTACAATACGGAGCTGAATGATCCTGGGGCCACCCCACAGAGCCATTCCTCTACCCAAGTCTGAGGAACTCCAGAATTCCTGTGTCATGTGTAGGACCCAAAAAAAGAAAGGCAGGACAGGATCCAGCTCAAGAATTGGGGCCTTCCAGCAAACAAGTTCATGGCCTGTTCTGGGATTTCGTGGGTATCAGCATATTGCTCCCCGTGTCACTCAGATTTCCCAACGACAGAACTCACATACGCCTCCACTGACAAGACAAGACCCCTCCTAACGCTACTATTAAAGGAGAATCTGCCTATCTGTTAGTAATCCAGGAGTAGTAACTCCCCACACGGTTAACTAGTCTTAGTGCCACGCTGCAAGTGACACACCTATGCACTGAATATTGCTTTACTCGTCCCATTACTCCACTGGATTATTGCCAGACCTCTCATGGGTCTGACAATAAAATCCCGGCTTTGACCTAATGCCCTGATTCCTAAGAGATCTGTGGTCTCCACACAAATACCTTCTGGGGGAGGGAAAGGGAAGTCTGGTGGGTTTATGACCCATGCATCATTTTACCCAAACCATCCACGAGTACTTTGCAGAACTGAGGCACGTAAGAGTAGCATGACAATCAAGTGTCACCCAGCTGGCCGCAGCAGCGATGACTAGAGAGCCTAGGTCTCGCAGATCTATGGCCTGATAGAGGAGTGATCTCAGCCTAGGAGGTCTGTACCCCGCCAGCACCCCAGGCAGTGTTAGTCTTCATTAACGCTACAGGTAGCTCAGGATTGACAAGACTGCTGCTGACTCCATGGGATCTTGCGTACTACGATTAAAGTTAAGGTCCCTCTAGTGCAATGGGGCAAATTGCTTTTAAAAAGACTTAAGCTGGAGCAGGTTCCCAGCAGGCTTCTCGCTGAGGTTCTCTTGGGCAGGTGAACACACGTCAGAATGTAGTTAGCCCATCTATGCTGTTTATTGAACACGTTAAACATCCACGCATCAGAGCAACCCCTTTTATTCCAGTGTGGAGAGCAAGACTGCAGCCGGTGGTACACCCTGTTCATCTACAGGCTGAATTCACTCTGCTTTGAGCTCTCAATTCAGCCTCTACAATCGCACAGAGAAGCTCCTGCTCTGCTCTGAGAGAGCAGATGGCCACCAACTGTGGCCATCTTGTAAAAAAATGGAGGCAAGACTTGGCTCACGGAGAACAAGATGGGGAATTCGTCCTGCCTCACAAAGCAGACACTAAAAGACCAAGGATAATGGGCAGAGTTTGAAGATGAGTGTTTCCCTCCATATTCTGTTCAGCTCTTCACATTCAGCTTCCAGTAAGTTGGTAGTTACACCAGGAAATTTTTAGCAGTGAATTTTGTCAATTAGTAAATCACTGGTAAATTTATCACTCAAACGTACTTAGTGGTAAGTATCAGTAAGTATTTAGCAAGATCAGAAGTGTACTGCAGTTGAAAATAGGAGCAGACATAAAAACAAGAGTGACCTGTGTGTTGAAGGGTCTCCCCATCCATTCCCACACTCACATTATCTCCTCCATGGAAGGGCATTGTCGAAAGCCGTGAGAAAGTGATTTTGAAGCATCATCAGTGATTCCACAGAGTTTCAAGCTGAAACAGCGGGGACAGAAAAAACAGAGGGCACAATGCGCTGGTGTCAGAACTGGTGGGGAATACAGTACCAGCACCAGCACCGTCTGCTGCGCTCCTGCCCTGGCGATGCCACAAACAAAGCCAGCCGCGCTCCGCCCCGGCAGCCTTCAGTGCCCTGGTACTCACTCGATCTTCCGGAGGTGTTCAAAGCGTGGCAGCCCCTCGGACAGGGCATGGATACTTCCTTCCCCAAGGTCATTTTCTGATAAACTGTGAGAGTAACGGAAAAGCTGTGAGTGGCCGCAGAAAAAGCAGGTACAGTCAGAGAAAAGTCACCACCAAAACGTAACTATGTGAATTAGCACCCAGACAAAGTGAGGACTCTAGACAGCAGGGACAAGCCAGATCGGCTCATGGCAATTCAGCGTCAATTCCCTGCTTGGTAAAATGACAGCCCTGCTCTAACTCGCAGCGTAAGTCCATTCAGCAGTGAGTTGCTTGCAGACAGTAACGTGGGGTTATACCAATGGCTGAGATGGACAGACCTGCAGCACACCGTGTGTTGATGTGAAACTGGAAATAAGAAGTTATACTGGAGTTAATGACTGGTGTGACTTGAGAGAAAACGACGGTAAGGGAGCGTGGGAAGAAGACATGGCTCTCAAAGGCTCAGCAGTAACTGCCTTCCGGCCTTCACCAGGGTGTGCTGCTCTGTTCTCACCTGCCAGCAAACACAAGCCATGGCAATACCTCCCCTGCTCCAACATATCTCACACCTAAATTACCAACACCCTAATTCATCTTGTTATTTAAGGATAGAATAGAATAAATAGAATAGAATAGAATAGATTGCAGTTGGAAGGGACCTACAACGATCATCTAGTCCAACTGCCTGACCAATTCAGGGCTGACCAAAAGCTAAAGCATGTTGTTAAGGGCATTGTCCAAATAATAAATAAATAAACACATAACAATAATAAAACACATTAAAAACATATAACAATAAATAAACACATAACAAAGAACGGTGGCATCAAGGATGCAGCAGGAGGAGTTAATTCTCATCACCTCCATTCTTTCAGTTCCATATTTAGAAATTCTACCACTCCCCACGTTACTGCATGCAGTGGCTGGAAGGCACATGGCTACGCAAAGCCTGGCAAACAGCACTGGCAGACAAGGTTTGACATCTAAAGTGATCTCAGCTGCCCTGCAGGCAGTGCGCTGCAGTGACCTTCAGAGAGTGTCTCCTCTCACCCTACGAAAAGTGTCTAGGACGGGTGGAGGGACTGCCCTCTCCAGAGTCACCCTGAGCACGGAAAAAGCCCACGTGACAGCCTCAGGCCCGTGAGCTGAAATGATTCCCACCCGCAGAGTGATACCAGTCCATACGTTTGGCACCATCCCAAGTGCACCTGCCATGGCCTACCTTATCTCTTCCAGCAGCCCACACACCACCAGGGCTCTGGCCAGCTTCATCCCTCCTGCTGGCCCAATGTCATTGTTCTGCAAGCTAACAAAAGAAACATAAGCATTGGAGGATTATTTTAGAATAAAGCTGTAACAAAAGCTCATATTTAACTTGCCAAGAAGGTGACTGCTACATCTTTTGAACCAGCGGCCGGTGCTGGTAATAACCTGGGATCCTTGTAGATTAGTCTTAACGAAGGGGCCCGGAAAACAGGGAGGCAACAGTGGGGGCCAGCAATGTGGCTAGCATGTCGAGTGGCTCCTGCTGCTGTCAGTGACGCCTGGGCTACTGACATGCAAGTTCAGTGGATTTGCCCATGCTCACAACAAAGGAGCACTTTGCAAAAGCAAAGGCTGCACAGTACCACCGGGAGTCTGTCTCCAGCTCGGTGCACGTGGGATCGGTTTGAGATGAGTGAGGAATGGCCGTAGGAACAAAGAGCGGATGGCACCTCGTGTCTGCAGATTTCCCAACACCTTTCCAGTAAAGACAAGAACCTACCCAGAGGACTGAACTCTCCCACCACTGCGATTCCTTTCCTGAGATATCTTTTGACGATACCCTAGACACAGGCTGGAAAACACACCACTAGCCTAACTGAGCCCAGTGAGCTCTTCTAGCTCACCAATTTCTTGCTTTGCTACTGTAAAACAGTATGAGAAAGTCCTACATGTTGGAGCTCCGGAAAGACTCCCATAGAAGGTTTAAAAATATAATACCACTGAGTTCAGGGGGAAAAATGACTCAGAGGTGCCTGCACAAAACAGTGAGGGACCACAAAAGGTGCTCATATTTATGCTCACATCACACCAGAACGAGAGGACAGCCAGAGGCATTAGAAGCTAACATACTCAAAACCAATTTTAAGGGTTATTTTACTGAATATACAATGCCTGGTTCATCTCTAAAGTTAACGCTACAAGAGATTATGCAAGAATAGTTGATGTGACTTGACGCAGCAGAGTAACTGTGGAGGGTTTCTCAATCCTGAGACACTTAAAATAATGTCTAAACAAGAGACCAGTGCACCACTGCAGTCTCTGCCTTTTTCCATGCCTTCTTTCAACCATCCCACGTATTCCCAGGATATCCAGCTTTCCTGGGGCAAAGGCTGACACGTACTGCAGGACCTTGAGGTTGGTCGTGTGAGGCAGGCAGAGGGCAAGTTCCACTGCCGTCCTGTCTCCAAAAACATTCCTTGATAGTCTGGAAGGAGCAGAAACGAAATGTTACTTGCAGTGAACTACAGAGCCTCATTCCTCACCTGTGTGTCACCCACAGTTATCTGTGACCCCCATTCCTCGCCCACATGTGCGTGGGCTGAAAGAAGCTAATGTCCACGATTCAAAGGAGACTGAGGGTGGGAGGAACGAACAACGACGTTTTGTAATCCTGCAGCAGAAGTTAAACAGGGAACTAAAACTGACTTGCACTTCTCGGGAGCACACTGATCTCCCTTCCTGACTGGGTTGTCCTGAGCTGGAATTACACCAAAATTGCACTTTTTAATACGTGCCCTTAGTCCAGGATGCTGTAATCTGAAGGTTATATGAATAGCTCCAGCATTTTAACAGTAACAGAAATAACTTCTTCTGAGTTGTTATTTTATTATTTTATTTTTTTAATAAGGCAGGGGGACGTTTGTTCTATAAACTGGTCTGCAATGGAATGACTGATAGTAAATCTGGCTGAGTAAAGCCTCTATCTGTCATCTTCCCTCCATTTTTGCAGCCGCATAGATTAACGCTGATTCCTTAGGCAACACAGGCACTGCATAGCCCGTACGCCTGTGACACTGCCTGTTAAACCACAGATTCAGTTCTTCCCCACTGAGGCAGTCCGCACGGTTCTTGGGAACCTCTGAGAGACTGCAGTGAACAAGCAATCCCCAAACCTCCCACACCCAGCACCACACATTCCTATCCCACGTAGCTGTGAGTTTTTACCCTGCTCTCATAAGAATCAGTGGTAAAAATGATTTTGGCTTTACTGGCGCCAGATTAGATTTGGTTTCTATGCCTTGATTTTTGCCCAGCTTCCTGAAGGGACACTGGAAATGACACACTTACAGTAACTCCTCGATGCGTTGGCAACAGGCAAGAGCTCCCATCAGCTTTTCCCCTCCAGCAGGACTAGGACTGTTCCCTGAAAGGCTAAAATAAGCACGGAAGACTCTCAGTGACTGAACCAGAACCAGAACGCACCATCTCAAGATATTCCACTGTTTGCCTGGCGCAATGGGAGACTTGGGTCACTGCAACAATGGGCTACGCGGGGCTGCAGTGGTGTGTCCGGAGACACAGGTCTCTGGAAAACGGCCTGGGGATTTGTAGTGTGTTTTTGTCAAGCACTGAGTCACTTCTGCCCCTGCAGGTACTGGGGGGAAGGAGCAGTTTTCCCTTTCCCAGACAGAACTGGGAATTTCCTTTCCTTGTTTGAGTCATTTCCAGGTTTGCAATTTCAAAAAATTACAAGGCATACCCCAGAGCTGAGCCTAACAAACAGCCTGGATGCTCTAATTTCTGCTCCCTTGGAGGAGGGACAGTTTGAATCCATGTCTCTGAGAGCGAGCCTTGTCTAGAGACTGTGTCCTTGCTTTGACAAATTCTCCATTTCGCCTCTACTTCCACTAGTAAAAGAAGGCAGCGTAGCAACACTGGGGGCCACCACGCTGGGAACCCCACAGAGCCTGAGGAAAGGTGCTGCGTGGATCCGAGACTTGTACGATTCCCCACAAGCTTGCAGATTTACTTTCCAGGACACAACCGAGCCAGAGATCTCTCCGTTCAAACAGCTAGCGAAGGCCGGCCAGTGCCCACCGCTGTCTCTGGGGGTGACTGCACGAGGACATGACCGTAACCTTCACTCTCAGAGAGTCTCTGCACTGGCAGAAGGAGTCGCTGCCAGGCCCAGCTGTACGTGGGGAGGGACCTTCCATTGGTTTGGTAGATTTTGTATCAGGTCTTCAATGACATTGAAAATGCTGGAAGGTGGAACGTTGTATAAATGAAGGTGGCACAGAGCTCCCTACACAAGCGTCCCCACCAACTGTGGCCATAACCGAAATCGCTGCAAACAAAACAAAAAGGGACTCACTCGATTCTCTTCAGGTTTTGCATTTTCAGCA